TCAGCAGTGGCTACCATAATGTCTGTTTTCTTCAAAATAGTTGTCTATACCTTCACACATAATAAGTTAATATAAATCAAAATAGTATAAAAGTAATCAAAACAAAAGAATGAGAGCCTTAAGATCTTTCAAAACCAGACACTAGTAAATCAACAATGGCTACCATGTCTCCTGTTTTCTTCAAAATAGCTGTCCATACCTTCACACATATTGAAATCAAATAATTAAAAACAGATAAACCAATCAAAACCAAGAATAAAAGCATTATTGGACTTCAAAACAAAATGATAGGAAATCATCAATGGCTACCATGATGTCTTGTTTTTGTCAGTGTAGCTGTTCATACCATCACACATCATAAAATCAATTCTTGTAAACACTTTAGGTGAAGCTCTAGGCATATATAAGCCTACACAATGCACATCTATCCTTTATGTATTAAAGAGAAAAACAAAATAACAAATAACTGTAACTAAGAGCCCAAAACAGTAACAATGCAGGCTTTCAAAATAAGGTGGTAGGAACATGGCAAATTTCGTTGTTTTGCATAGTTATCTTCAAAAGTCTTACTGGAATGCCAGATACAGTCATGCAAAATTGATCTAATCCTATGGATGTTAACCGTTTTGTTCCAAGAACTAATAGAATTAGTAGTACCATCACCTTAGTAATCTTAAGTGTATATATACAAATTTATATCTTATTTCCATTTTTCCTTTTCCCTGAGTTATTTTTTCTCTTTTAGCAGTTTCTTACTCTTTTACAATATTTATTGAAGATTTTGTATCTTATTTACTCTTTCAATTTCTTACATTAGGGAGACAGTATTTACACATGTTGAGTTTGATTTGTTTCACTTAAGTATGGTCTCAAGTTGTATCTATTTACCTATAAAAGCCTCAATATGGCTTTCTTTATAGCTGAGTAGTATTCCATTATATAAAAATACCACATCTTTTTTATACATTCCACAGTTGATGGGCTTTTGGGTTGTTTTCAAGATTTAGCTATTACAAATTGTGCTGTTATAAACATGAGTGCACATATATCACTATGGTATGATGTTTTCACTTCTTCTGGGAATATGCCCCGTAGAATAGCTGGGTCAAATGGGATCTCCAATACCAACTTTTTGAGGAACCTCCAGACTGACCTTCACAGTGGTTGCAGCAGTCTACATTCCCACCAAAAGCGCAGGAGAGTTCCTTTTCCCCTACGGCCTCTCCAGCATTTGTTATTAATGATTTTCTTGACCCTGGCTATTCTTTCTGGAGTAAGATGGAATCTCAGTGTGATTTTATTTTGCATTTCTCTAATGATCAATGATGTTGAACATTTTTTCATGTATTTGACATTTGTATTTCTTCAGCTGAGAAGTATATATTCATCTCAGAGGCCCGTTTTTGGAGTGGATCTTTGAATTTCAGGGGCCTGATTTTTAAAAAAATTATTTATATGTTCTAGACAGAAGTTCTTTGACTGAGGGACAATTGACTAAGGTTTTTTCCCAATTCATGAGTTTTCTTTTCACTCTGTTGGATATTTCTTTCGACATGCAAAAACTTAAAGACAAGTCCCGTTGTTGATTCTAGGAAGTGTTTCCTGTGCAGTTTGAGTTTTGCTAATGAATTCTCTGCCAACTCCTATGTCTTCAAGGTTTCTACCTACTTTGTCTTCCAGCAGGTTTAGTGTTTATGTTTTAAAATTTAGATCTTTGATCCATTTTGACTTTAGTGCGTGGCAATAGGCATGGGTCTAGTTTTAGTTTTTGTAAGAGTTCTTAATATATTCTTACTATAAATGATTTTTTCCAGTTTTTAATTGGTCACATTTTTTTAAATCCTAAAGATTTTAACGTTGATGAAATACAATTTATCCGTTTTTTTTTTTTTTTTTTTTGGTCTGATTTTGCTTTTGGTGTTATTCAAAGTCTTTACCTAACCCAAAGCCATTAAGATTTTGTCCTGTTTCCTTCTAGAAGTTGTATAGCATTAGTGTTTAAATAACTATAACAACTATTAATAACAAATAACTAAGAGCCCAAAACAATAACAATGTAGGCCTTCAAAATAAGGTGGTAGGAACATAGCAAATTTTGTTGTTTTGCATAGTTATCTTCAAAAGTCTTACTGGAATTGCCAGATACAGTCATGCAAAATTGATCTAATCCTATGGATGGTAACTGTTCGAAGAACAAAACAGATCTACAATGTTGTAAGGATCTAACTTTGGTCCTTTTCTCTCTCTCTCTTTCCTTTAAATATATGAATGTCCTACTTATCCCAGTACCACTCATTCGAAAGGCCATCTTTTCTCCCATTGAAATTATCTTGGAATGCATGTCAAAGTCAATTGAACATAAATGTAAGGGGTTTTATTTTTTTTTGGTACCGGAATTGAACTCACAACCTTGTGCTTATCAGGGACTCACTTAAGCCACTGCGATAAATCCACAGCCCAGTATAAGGGTTTATTACTGATACTTAATTCTGTTCCATCTCTATGAATGCCTAGCCTTATGCCAAACACTATCTTGGATAATGTAGTTTTATAGAAAGCTTCAATGTTCAATAATTCAATTTTTAAAAAAATATTTTGGCTATTTTAGATTCTTTGTATTTCCATTGTTTTAGGATCTGCTTGTCAGTTTGTTTAAGAAAATATTGCCCAAATATTAATAGCAATTAAGTTAAATCTACAGAACTTTGGGAAGAATTGCCATTGTAACAGCACTGAGTCCTCTAAATCATGAACGCAGGTTTCTCTACTTATTTTTATCCTAATCTCCTAGCAGTATTTTCCAGGGGAACAGATTCATTTTTGTATTTTTTGATATTGAGTGGGCTTTGAGACTGTCATTGCTAATGTAATTTCATTTTTAAAATGTTGATCTTGTATCCTACAACCTAAATGATTTAGTTCTAGTAGCTTGTGCACGGATTCCTTAGGATCTTCCAAGACCATGTTACTGTGAAGACAATCCCTCCCCCCACCCAATCTAAATGCTATTAGTCACTTTGTGGGAGAGAGAGCTGGACAGACCTTCCACTGCAACACTGAATAGAAAGAGTAAGTCTGCAATGTTCTTAACTTGTTCTTGATTTAAGGAGAAAAGCACTATCTTTCACTATTGTTTACCGTGGGCTTTTCATAGATCTTTTCCTTAGTTTGAGAGTTCCGTTTCATTCTGCAGGGAGTTTTCATCACGGATGTTGAATTTTGCTAAATGCTTTTTCTGTATTTAGTAGACTATGCAGCTTTTATCATCTCTTGTTAATGTGGTATTGTAATATATTAAAAGATTTCTGGATGTTACATAAAGCTTATAGTCAAAGATATGTATCATTTTTCCCTGGTACATACACTTTTTGTTGTTCAATCAGTTAATGAGTTTTAGGAATTCTGTATCTATCACCATGAGCTTGGAGTACTTTATAAATACAAACCAGGACTGTAATTTTCCCTTTAGTCACTGCTTATAACTGTGTACTAGACATTCTGATATGTGACACAATCACTTTCACTGTTAAAGTTATTTCTACCAAACACTGGGGCACATCTATAGTCACAGTTACTTGGAAGGCTGAGGCTGAAGGATTACTTGAGCCGAGTTAGAGATTAGCCTGAGCAATGTAGCAAGACCCTATTTTAAACAAATAAAAATAACTTTCTAATCTTCCCTTCAGATTTCTACAGTACATGGGTTATTTGTTAACTTATAAATATTTAGAGACCTTCTAAAGATCTCATTGACTTCTATATTAATTTCAGTGCAGCTGGAGAACACAACACTTTAATCCTTTTAAGTTCTGAGACTTGTATTACTGCATAGCTGACAATCTTCCTTGGAGAACGAATCTTCCATGCATAGTGGTAAAAGGTAGTTGTTGTGGGTAGTGTTCCATAAATATCACGATGAATTGGCTGTCAGCATTTTTGTAGGTGCTCAGTGATTCAATCAAGATGTTTTATCAATTATTGGAAGCACAACTTCAAAAGCTCCAAGTATTGTTGAACTGCCCATTTCTTTTGATCATTTTCTTCGTGTAATTTTTAGCTTTGGTTTGGTGCATATGTAATTCTTGTACTTCTCTGATACATTGACCCCTTTTTATCATGTAAAATACCCTGCTCCATTTCCCACAGTATGTGTCTCAAGGCCCACTTGGATATAAATATAGCAATTCCAGGTCTCTCATGGTTACTGTCATGGTACATATTTTCTCATACTTTCTATCTCTGTCTGAATCTAAAGTGCTTCTGTGACACCATATAATTGATTCTTACTTTTTATCTACTCTGACAATGAATCAAATGTCCAGTTCATTCACATTTAATGAAATTACTGGTATGGTTAGATTTATGGTCGGCATTTTGCAAATGCCTCTAAATGTTTCAAGTCCTAGGGGAACACTCAGATGCTGATCCCCTCAGATTTAAAGCCACTATTATATACCAGATTTCTATTGTAAGCTCAACAATACATGTCGCAATGACTGCTTTATAAAGTGTAATATCATTTAAAGAAAACATATCTACTGTTGTAAGCACATGTAACGCCCAAAGTCCCATCCTTTGACTGATCAAACACTAATCTTGGTACTGTTATAAAAGTACTCTACAGATGAAAAGTGAAGTTACCAACCAGGGAGATTACCCCCAAAGGGCTTAAATAGTCACAGGAGCGCCCCTAAAAGTGGTGGAAGAGCAAAGCAGCAGAGAGATGTGGTGGAAGACAAGCAAAGGAAAAAGGGGATCAGAGAAAGGTAATGTGAGAAGGACTCAACCAGCTGTGGCTGGTTTTCATGAAGGGAGAGGAAGGATGCCGTGAGCCCAGGTAAGTGTGTAACTTCTAGATATCAAGGGTGATCTCTAACCAGTGATCAGCAAGGAAACCAAGAGCTCAGTCCCTCTCCTGGAACTGAGTGAAGTCTGCCAGCACTCTTGACTTCAGAAACGTATTCATCCTACTCCTCCAGAAGAGAATGGAGTCACTGGCATTTGGGAAAAAAGTAATTTATTTGCATTGCTTCCATTTTTCTACTGTAGTGTTAGGACTTAACATAAACATCACTCTCCTATTTCCTATTTACAGTTCATTTGGAATATTACTACAAATACAATATACAATTTTTAAAAACTTATGGGGAAATGCAATTTAAGGTTTTTTCTCCTTTTACAGGCTTCTCAAAATCAATCAACACAAGTCAAAATTTATATGGACATTTTCTGTACATATCCGAAAGGGCAGAGATTACACTGACAAAGTCAAAAGAATTTTGCACAAATATAATAAAATACAGAAAACAAAAAGTACAGATAATGCTATTTTGGGAACAATATAAACAGTACAGTACCATTTGGGTAATTTAGCAACATAATACCCATACTTTATAGAAATAAAACTGCAAACCTGGAGAATGCTCTGACAAATATTAAACATTATATACACAATGAGGTAAATGTACCTTGGTCTCTTGAGAGGTAATTTAAGTTTAAAGCAATTGATATTTTGAAGCATCTCCTTGACATATAAAGAAATATCAAACACCCCATTCCATCGGCACACTGTGAAAGAGGGGTTATCAAAACATGTTTATGATGCTCAGTTCACAAAAACCTTATTCAAAACAAAAACAAACACACTGAAGTTCTAAGTTTTAAGAAACAGGCAGAATGTTATTAACCATATTTTTTAGAAAGCTAACATTTACAAATTAGATTGCATAATGAGAGTGAAAATAACATACAGACACTCCTAACACCCTAGGAATCCAGCATTCCTAGAAAGAGCCGGTATTCCAGCATTCCAAAGCAGACTGCAGCACCTGTCCAGTGCTGATCTTTAGGATCCCAAAATAACTGAGTATTTTTCTGCTGAGCTGTAAGAAAACCATTATTTGGGATCTCCACCACTTAGAGCCACTGTCACAAGAAACAAAAGAAACAGATGATTTACAATCAATCATTCCTTCAGTGTGTGTGTGGGGGTAAGTCTGATATGTTTAAGACAATACTGATTTTGTGTGTTAGTCACACTCTGCCATTTGCTTAGAGTATAGTCTACACTGACAGGCCTCAGACACAGAGGGAAACAAGTAGCTCAGCAAGACTGAAACTGGTTGAGTGACCGCTTAAAATTTATAGTAAGAACTGCAATCTGAAGTTGTTGATGGCCGTGGCACTGTACACCAACTCAAGGCACTTCTCAAGCACTGTTGTTACAGCAGAGTTACAGGCTCGGCATTCAGGCCTGACTGTCCAGAGGGCACACAACTGGCCACTGCTTCTGGCACAACTTCCACTGCCACACCTGCTACTCTATTTCTTGTTTATGGCTAGGCCAAAGCAGGGCAACCAGCAGGAGCCTCCCAAACCTCACCTCCAGACTTGGGGACCCCTCCTTGACATACCAATTATTCAAGGAAATGGAAGTATTTTTCATAAATTCCACTGTCCACTTTATTCCGGGGTCTCTCAAGCAACTCTTCATTCAAAAGGCTGGGAATATGGGTAGGAGGCAATGGTTTCTGAGACAGGGCCAGCAGGAAGTTAGGTCAGAAGAAGCAAGTTTAAAGACATGAAGGAAAAAAGGGCCAGGAAGAGCTATGCCCCGCTGTCATACTTGTCTGTTCCCGCTGCTTTGGGGTACTGACAGAATGATGGCCAGAGGACATGTTTCAGTCATGTTATATCTCTGAATGTAAGCATGTTAGGATAGGCAATATAAACAAAGGCCTATGCTTCTAAGTGATAAAAACTATTACTCTACTCAAATTTATCTATAGTTATGGCCATAGTAATCATGAACTATTTCACCTTTTAAATAGTTTTCACTTTCAATGTTGCAAACTGGGGTTCATCAAGCTGTCCCTAGCCAAAATAGGAATCAGATGCAGTAATATGTAAACTCAATTTTGAACTATATTCCAACTTAAAATTCCCTGATTCATAAAAAGTACATTTTATGACTTAGGCAAGAACAGTACAACTGCAACTCAACCTCTGATGTAACGCAGATTATCTTTAGCAAAAGTGGATTACCTTATATGAAAGTGAGAAATCATGTATTACAACTTCAAATCAGATAACTTTTGGTATGTTCTTAAAATTATATAAAAATAGTTCTAGTGATAAAATGCATTGGTCCCCTGGATTTCATAAAGCAGATCTTGTAGGCTTAAGAAATGCCCCCCAAAGTACCTGATTATAGAACTAGAGATTACCAAACAGGTATTATAACACAACTATAAAAACAAACCCTCAAACATTTGCTTCAAAGAAATCATGGTAACTATAGAAAACAAAAATTGTAGTCAAAATAGCCTCTAAGAACATTTTCCCCATGTTTTTAAACACACAAGTTGATACTAGATTTCTATGTAATATGTCATTCTAGAATTACTTTGGTTTTAAGACCAAGTAGTCTTTCAAATTTATTCTACGTGTAAGATATAAGACGTTATCAGAATGCAACTCATTCAGCATAAATGGCCACAGTGCCTTCCTGACCAAAATACTGCAAAGGTTATTCTGACCCTTTATCAGGGCACTGACAGCACTACCAAGTCAAAGTCTTGTCTCACAGGTATGATAGTTTCTCCCTCTCAGGATAAGATCACAGTGATAAAAAGGACTTTGAAAACTGTGAAAGCCCTACATACTTTACATTCTTTAAGTAAAACTCAGTAACCATAAGATAGCTTTAACTTCATGTGAGCAGACCGTGACAAGTTTACTTACACATTTAATCTGACTGAAAACAATTGGAAATAGAGAACTTATGTACAGAATGCTCTCGAGCTCCCACCGCTCCCCAAAGTACACTGAATTCATTATGCAACCATGTTAATTAGGCAGTTGCAGTATCTGCACATACGAGATAAGGAAAGACTGGATTAAAAGCTGCCTTCCTCAAAGTGTAATGAGACCTCAGAACCACACTGTTAACCTTACAAAGACAGAGAACCCACGGAACACGTATACCTACATAACAAGTGTGACTGTTACACAATCTGTTCTCTATTTGAATTATTAACTACCTTTGCCTCTCTAAACAAAAGGCCTGTTACTGAACATTGACCATATTCTACTTTACATGTAATTCACTTCTAAAAAAATAACACTGTCGATCAGATAAAGAAAAATGGCTTACAGAATACCACACAACTTTTCACAAGCAGCTAGACAAATTTCCTCTTATAGAAAAATTAGTCTGTATGCTATGAACATTAACTTATTAAAGCACTGTAAGCATCTAGAGTGCCACTTGCCTTTTTAAAATATACTCAGACAGCACAACTGAACCCTAAAAGCTCGAAGGAGAATATTCCAACATGACCACGTAACAACTGGCTTATGCCACAGCATATTTAGTGGTTTAAGCGCATTTTGGTAGGAGAAAGGCATTTTCAAAATGGAATATCAATGGCATACCACAAAACTCCTGTAAAAACAGAACAGAAAAGGTTTGAGTTATTCAGATAAATAAACTTTTAGAATTCAGAGACTACAGGTTTTAACACAAAGACTTCAAGCAATTCTACTCATTTCCATTAGAAAGACACAGAAGTGGCACTTACTGGTATAGTACAATCCCATTTTGAAGGCATGTAATGTTCTGAATAGGTGAAAGAACAATAATAGTATACAAAATACAGTTGCATAAATTATGTTCCTCACTACTATATGAGGTCCTTTTTAGACTCAACATAAGAGTTAGTTTTAAGATCCTGAAAAATTATAGAACAGTACATTCAAAGACTGAATCAAAGAAATTCTTTAGTGGTTCAGAATCCTCTGAGAATGTACTACTAACCAGGAGTAAATCACTTTTTTTAAAAATAACTCAACAGTCCAGCTCCTTGTCCTAAAGATGATCTTCATCACAGCAGAGTTACCTAAAGTTAAGACGAGCAGTCAACTTTTAAAAAACAAGTTTTGTTAATAAAAAATAAAGGTAGACTATACAACATTTGTAACTGTCCTGGGAAAGAAGCGTTCATAGTGCACAGAAAGGACCCAGATGGCTGTGTCCTGGGTCCCAAGAAATCCTGGGAAGTTTTTAGTTGACCTTATTAGACTGCTGCAAAAGGAAGCAATCTCCTTCTGTTCCCTCTCAGTGAGGTAGAACGATTGGCCTCCCAAATGAAACCCAGGAGCAGATCTAAAGAAAAAGTAGAGTTCAGCCAAAGCTGCAGGATTACATTTTGATGCCTTCCTGTTGACTGAGCTGTGACAATGTTTTCTTAATCCGCAAAGCCGTCAGCCTGGCCGCTCCATTAGCATACCAACATTCTCTCATGATTTTAGCCATCACTCTCAGAGCCTACAGGGGACACAGGACAAACGATTAATGCACTTACTACTTTTTCACTGAGCGGAATTCAAATCTTTATATATATATAAATTTTTTAAAATGACATGCATATGAATATTGTTGTGAGCGTTATTTGTAAGAGCAAATGAATGGAAATGATCAGTACTACTAGGATACTAGTGCTTGCTTCTAGAAAGCAGATGGATAAAAGGTGACCTGGTAGATCTGAAAAGTTAAATCCTAACCCAGCACTGGGCAAGGCAAGAAGAACATGACTCATACTGAGACGTCCCTATACTGGAAAATTAAGTATGTGAACCGACTCCAGGACAAGGCTCAGGGTAAAACACAAGAAGTGGGGGATAAGCTTCAAGAGCTGAGCTCTGGAAACCTGACCTTTCCCCAGACTTTACATAGCCAGGTGACTACACAGCTACAACCCAGCAGATACCTAGAGGTTTTTATTTAAGAAGAAACACGAGGACCTTGAAAACATGCAGGCACAATGGAAATACACTAAACATTAAGATTGTAAGCTTTCTCCCCGATACATGGAAAGAATTTGCACATAATCCTCCGGCCAAAAATCTTTGGAAATTTGAACAGCCCGGGAGGAACGATCAAAAGAAGGGTGTCAGTAGTTTCCCAAGAAAACAACCCAGTGAGGTCGCCTGAAGAGACACTTAATAAACTCTACTACAAGAGTTCCTGTTAGCTTTTGGGTCCTTCTTTATATATAAAGAATCTGATCATGGGGCTGGGGATTTAGTTCAGCGGCATAAGCACCTGCCTTGCAAGTGTGCGGTTGTGAGTTCGATCCCTGATACCGATAAAAATGAAAAAGACAAAAAAAAAAAAAGAGTTTGATCATATATTCAAGAAAAGTGATATGAAATGGAGAAACTGAAACACAAAAGAAGCAACTTGGGGAAAAAACCCAAAGAGAACAATATTAATAAAACCTATCATTAGAGCTGGAGGTATAGGTCAGTGGTAAAATATTCACTTTGCTGCCATGTACAAACAAGGCCTGGCCCTGAGTTCTATTTCTATATATATGTATAGAGTGCCACTTGCCTTTTAAATATATATATATATTTAATATCCTCAAAGAAATGAAAGAAAATACTTCATTCTACACTTCATTTCCCCTGGCAATCTCCTTACTCAAAGTTGTTCAGTCCTTATATTTCATGTTAGATATCTTTCTCAAATGGCTAGTTATGAACTAATAATGTTTAATAATGAATGGGGGTAGTACTTAGAAAAGTGCTCCTGGAAATTAAAAATGTAAGAACATAAATGGACAAAAGTAAATAGAATTGCAATATAAAGGTGATAAACCTCCCAAATGGTGAAGAAGAAGATAAAGAGATGGGTAAGAGGGCAAGGAAGGTAAGAAACTCACAGGGCTTCTTTAGGAGCGCTATCATTTAAGCAATGAGAGTTAAACAAACAAAACAGAAGAATATAGAGAAGAAGCAATTCAAGATACTTCACAAACACTTCCTAGGAAAAACAGCTGTTTCCAGGTTAAAAGGACCATATCCCAGCAGTATTTGCTGAATGCCTACCATACAACAGACATTAATTTAGGTCTCAGGAATACAGCTTTGAACTGATACAGTCTGTCTTCACAGTGCTTACATTCCAGAGGGCTAAGTCACAGATACATAAATTACTATAAAACACATGAACTACCATACAATGGTAAATTTAAAGGAAAAACATAATTAAGCAGGGTCAAAATATGCTAAGGGAGGTGGGCATAATTTTAAATAGAGGTAATATCTCAATGAGACGGCGACCTCCGAACTGACAGCTGTAAAAGCAGAGGTAATAAATCAGGAAACAAGAAGAAAACATCAGATCCAAGATCCAAGAAAGAGGAATCAACATCAAAGAGAGGCAGAGAATTTCAAGACAGAGATAAGGGATACGGGAAGGTGAAAGTGTACATCTGACCTTAAGAGTAACCAGTCCAGACTGGAAATGGAGGCTCTCAAAGAGACTTAGGCAGTAGGTATTCTGGCAGTTTCACACGCTCGATGTGTTTGAACTATTACGCTGCCTGCGAATTCTGAGCATGCTGAGCTGTATGTGTGTGGGCCGAAGAGTTCATCTGGCTGGAGGTAGGCAGTATACTGTCCATTTTAGGGTCTCTATGGAGTTGATTTTCAGAAGTAAAATCAACTACTAAAGGAACCAGTTTTTTACTATACCTAAGTTACAGAACTTCAGTCTGTTTCACAAATATCATAATAGTTACAGCGGCAATTAAATTTGTCTTATAAATGTTTTAAATTTACAAATAAGCAAACCTTTTTATCTAAGGCTTTCCTAAGAGCTGGGAATGAAGAGTTCATACTGTTGGAGGGTACTTTCCTAACTCTTGGTTAATGTTCATCTGGGAAATGTCGTCTGTGAAGCCATCTGACGCTACTCTGCAATCATTCTAGTCAGTTGTTCATTTTACAATGGGACGCTGAGTTCTAGAGAAGTGAAATTCCCATATAAATCCAGCTCCACCAGACTGGGTTAGAACAGAAGGCTTCTGATCCTGGTCTTGTGCTCAGGGCACTACTTTGGGCTGCCCTGCTGAAGACAGCACTCACTCATATCAGTTGGCACATCTAACAAATGTCAGATATGCTAACGGCCACTGCAGATGTTCCATGGCCCTTTGAATGTGCTAACATTGAACATGAAAACCAAATTATTTTACTTCTACTCACTGGTTTAACTGCTATGAAAACAAAGGAAAGAGAATTCTTGATTCCCCTAAAATCTCTACTTAGTAAACAGAAACAGCTTAGAAAATGGCCTCATATCCAAAAGAAATACTCACTTCACAGCTCTGCCATCTGTTTGGAATATTTGGCCTCAACTTCTGTTCACAAACCACTTTTCTCATTTCTTCAACTGATGGATCAGAAGGTACAAGATCATAGTAAGGCAGCTGGTAATCTTCATGAATTCCTGTATTTATTTAAAAAAATTTTTTGAAGAATTTATATAGAAATGCTGAACCACTAGAAAGAGTCCCTAAGAGGCCTATTACAGTGCCCTATGATTAAAGCAGGTAAGTGGAATAAGGCTGAAAGTTTTCATTATTCCATCCACATCTACATCAACCTTCCCACTATCAGGCATGCGCCTAAAAACTCAATATTGCCACCAGCTCAGCAAAGTTTTTTCAATGACGGTTAACTATGGTCTTTGATGACCAGGTTGGCATTTTCCCCCATTAGTCCACTGTGCAGCAGATGAGATTCTGTGAGTACAGTCTCTTGCTGGGTACAGGACGTATACCCTCTCAGTGAGTAATGAATTCTACATGGCAAACCTTAAGTGCAAGTCCTTTCATCTGCATCTGCCAATAACACGTCCTGTTTGCTACAATACCAAGGCCTATTCTGCCCCTCACTGCCTCAAAAACCTGAGGTCGTAGATCTTAGCCTAGACCCCAAAGTAAGTCAGTTTCTCAAGTAAACAGAGCTAAGTGCTCAATCTAAATAAAAACAAAAAGCTAAAAACTAACAAACTTAAAAAGTCATGCAATATAATTGTCACTGCATCTTTAACATCACCTAGAGAAAATAACCAGTTGAAAGCTCAAGGAGAAGAAGTTGACAGAGGCACATGCTACCAACAGCTTCTTAAATGGCCTTCTCAGGACACTGTCCACTCTACAGTTCAAGGAAATAGGACTTCTGTTCTGATGTTTCCCAAGACTCAAATGGAAACAGGAGAAGACATGAGAGTAAAGCTGTACTTTGGCACACAATGACATGCCAAACTTCACTCCAGGTCTTATCACCTGTTTTCTTTGGCACGCTCAGTGACACCTGTCAGTCTGTTCACAGAATTTCATTCAGCAAAGAGGCAGTTCCTGAACAATTTCTGCTAATGACAAAGAGAGCAATTTACCACCAATGGAGCATCGACGAGCTATTTCCCAGAATACTAAGCCCATTGCATAGATGTCAGCACGTTTAAAGGATTCAAAATGTTTCATATTTATGGAATCATCTAGGACTTCAGGGGCCATGTACCTAAAAAAGAAGCCAATATTTTATTTTGTTGAATAACAGCCATACTATATAAATGTTTCATGCATTTTATTTTACTCCTGAGAATAAAATTTAAAAACACAACCACTATTAACACTTTTAGCACAGTTCTACTATTTTAAAAAGTGATTCACACTTATAAAAATTTCTCCAAATACATAAAGTATAAAGTGAAAAGCATCCCCTATTGCCACCAATTTCTAACACACACACACACACACACACACTCTGTATTATATAACTGAGATATAGACTCATTAATGATATAAATACTACAAAATGCTCAAATGGCATTTTTGTGCCATTTGTGATCTTGATTTCCAATGAAACACATTCATTTACTAGGTAGAAGGTTTACAAATGCCCTGAAGTATACCATCGCATGTACTGTGCAGGGATTACATCATTTAAAAATCCAGGAAGTCTCTCACTGTTATTAAGCAGGATGAAAAGGTGCTAGAACTTAACTACTACTCTAGGGAGCAACATAATAGATAAAAAGGAGTGACAGTGCTCGTATTGATACTACATTATAAAATGTCAAAAACCCCGTTAATGTTATCGGTCAGGACCCACAAAGATCTGTAACAAACACTACAGAGGGTCCCTTAGCCAGTCAACAGTTATGAAAGCGCCCCCCAATCCAGAAATCATAAATATAGTTTTGATATGCTAAAGTTGTTGATTATCTCCAAGGTCAAGGCAGTGGTTCTGAAGAAATGTGGTAACACATGACTGAGCAGAGTAAGGGCTTTGGGGTTAGAAATCTGAGCTCTTCCGCTTACCATCCTCACAGAGGTAGTCACAATACTTAACCCCCATGAAATGGTTTCCTTATCTGCAAATCAATCAAACCAACACCTATCTAATTAGGTCCTTTTGAGAACTTATGGATTCAATGAATATTTATTGAGGGTCTATCACATACTAGGGACTAGGATGCTGGGAATACAAGGCTGCTCCCAAGCAGCTTACAAGCTAATGGAATACAATATAACATGATATGCATGCTGTGACAGCCCTTGGCAGGGATACTTAAGACTTGAGGACTAGATAAGGCTTCCTTAAGTAAGTATAAGCATAAGTAAAGAAACAGTAGAGAAAAGTGCATGTTAGGACATGGCACACACAGAAGTTCTAAGGAAAAGAAAAGGTGTATTTTTAGCAACTGAAAACATGAAACAGTTGGCCCACTTGCAGCACAGCATTTGATGATGACACGAAACGAGGCAATATGTTAAATGACCTACAAAGACGCCTGGCATGCAGCAGGTGCTCCATCCACATTAGCTGTTACTGTTATGGTTAACATAACTAATTGCTAACACCATCTGGAAGACCTGCCTTTCATCAGGAGGCCACCTTTCAAGTCAGGTAATGTTGGCTTTGGTCCTGGCATGACCATAAGATCTACTTAATATTGTCATAGCAAGATAAGCTTGAGTTTCCAGGGAAAAATATTAGAAGGACAAGGAAAGGAAGTTGATGTCAAGACATACTGCATACCACTCATTCACAAACATACCTTTTCGTCCCCACTCGGTGGTTTGGAGCAATGTCGATTGTGTCTGTGGCTGAATCATGTCTTACTGCCAGCCCTAAGTCTGCAATACAGCAGGTCCCATTCTTCTTCACCAAGATGTTCTTTGATTTCAAATCTCTATGTGCAATGGCTGGCTTTCCTAAAGAACCAAAAATTAAGTGCTGTTATTTAAATAATACTATCACAAGTCTATCTTTTAGGTTCAAAGGCCTCTCTTCTTGGCCCAGTATGAAAGCATTTCACCTGGCACACTCAGGTGATTAGGAATAAGAAATACTAAATAAATAAGAGTACTAAAGATTAAATAAGATTACTAAAGATTAAATAAGATTACTAAAGATTAAATAAGAAATACTAAATAAATAAATTACTATATAAATACTATAGAAATGCCAGATTGTACTTATATAGTATGGCATTTAAAATCTACTTTCTTATTTTATTTAGTATTTATTTATAAAGATACATTCTCTGAGCTAATTCTTAAAACTGTGATACTCAAAAACTGTAAATAAGGCTGAATGCTACTTTTAAAATGAGTCCATTTACTTATTTATTTATACTGTCTGTACACAATGGTCATGCTTATTGTGGGGAGTTAGTACACATACATACATCTTAATTTTTCCCCCCTCTTTTTTCTTTGGTTTTGTTTTTTGGCACCCAGGAATCGAACTCAGGGCCTCATGCTTGCCAGGGAGGCACTCTGCTGCTGAGCTACATCCCTGGCCTTGATTCTTTTTTTCAACCCCTATCCTTCACTTTCCTCCCAATTCGTGGTTCCTTTCTCATTTGCGAAAACTCTATTTCCATTTTTTTCTTCAGTTGTTTTTGATGATGCCCTTCCCTCACCTTCCTTCCCTCTCCCTGCATCTGCTGCTCCCCTCCCATCTGAAAATGATCTCCCAACTTCCTGTTATCTATTATTCTGCAGAAAGCAACTTATAAAAACTCACAGAAATACCAGTGTTGCTACAATGCCTACAGAATCTCTAAGTAAATTTCCACATTCCTAAATCTGAGATTTAACAGAAAGAAAGAATGTTCTCATCTTTAAAAATCCATTTTAAGTATCTCTAGTTAGGCTGACTTACAATTTTGAATAGATATTTGATTTGTGGGGGCTTAAAGCTTGAGTAACAGACCTGCTTAAAGAATTACCTTGGGTACCAACTATCTCCATATGAAGATGGGCAAGACCACTCGCGGTGGACAGAGCAAGCTTAATCATTCCTTCCACAGTAACTGTGTATCTATTCAAGTAATCAAAAAGGGATCCGTGCTCATGATAATCCGACACCAACCAGAGTTGTGTCCATGTACCATTGTCTGCAAAACAAAATAACAATGTTTTAGTTGGGTTGTACAACATGTATGATTTATTTATTCAAAGAAGTTACTCTATTTTACTCTCAATCCTGAATGACACAAATTCAACGAGATGTCACCCAAAGTTTGTTTCCTTCACATTGTCTTGGGTACTGTTTACCATATTATTTCCATAGAAGCCCACTTATATTTAGAGGAAGCCCTGTGTTCTTGAGATAAGGCCAGTGTGACTAACCCTACCTAAGAGACAACAAATAGGAATCCACAGACAACAGCTTACACAAATAGTAGCAAAGCTACAGGGCACAAAGGTCTAACACCAAATCAGGTTAGGCACCGCCACGAATGTTTCTGGAGCATGTGTATGGGGTTGGGGATGAGAATCGGGAAGTCCAGTAAGGATACAGTAAGAACAGGATGGGACTGGACAAACCCTGAAATGAGCTTCAGGCAGAAGCAGCAAGCTGATGACAGCGTTAGAGACAGGATGCATAGATGTCACAAAGATGCTAAACAGGCCGATTAGGATTATAAACTTGCTGGTTTACAAAAACAAACACTGTTATCTTTGACAGGGTAAGCTGTGATGACAACTAAACTGTCAGGAAAAGGCTGAGAAATCTGGGGCTGAACCATTTTACACAATTTTCGAACCCGAACAACTACAAACATGGCTTCTGTAAGTTCCCTTTGTAAGCTGACACATATATTTGAAATACCATAAATTTAATTAAATCATGAAGAAAACATTTTAACACTAAAAGATAGCACAATTAAATAAAAGCTATATATTTGAGTCATTCCGACCTGAGCTGGAATCGATGGCCTGTCTGTAATTGATTACGTGGCCTCAACAAATACTCAGGCCAGCGGGTCTGCTTCTTCTTTCACACGAGAATAATATATTACTTCGTGAGACTCTTTAGACAGTGTACAGTATTAAAATTTTTTTTAAGCAGATAGTACAGTGTTCTGGATTCATGAGAATTTATACTGTGCTACTTTCTTCCCTATTAGGGATAAAGAAAGAAAAAAACCCGTTAACATAAAATGATGTGTATTTTGAAAGCTGTTACTGAAGAAAAGGAACTAAGTAGAAGAACTCAGATGGAGTTCTTCAGGTTCTAGAGGGGATTTTTGGTACTTTCAAAAAGACTTCAAGAGATTGTTACAAGATGCCCCCCAAGTCTGATGTGCTTCAGAAGCTGGGTTTTTAGGTGATTGGATCATGGGGTCACCATACTCATCAATGGATTAATGTACTGAGGAGTTCCTAGCCTATGTCTGTTCAGAAGAGGTGGGTCACTAAGGGAATGACCTGGGAAGGTGCATTCTTGTCTCTCTTCCTCTGTCATGCCCTTCCACTGTGCTGCTTCTGTCTTACCCCAGCTGACCACAGGCAACCCCTGAAACTGTTGGCTAAAATAAACCTTTCCTCCATAAAGTTGGGGGTATCCAGTATTTTCCCCCAAGAAAGGAAAAGTGACTACAGAAAATTGGTATCAAGAAGTGAGGCCATTGCTATTACTGTACCTGACCACATGATTCAGAAGCCTCTGGAACTGGTTTGTGGGAGGAGCTGAGAAGGCTGGAAATGCAGGCTAGAGAAGCCCTAGACTGCTACAAGCAGAGGCTGATGGGCAGTTCTATTTGGAGATCAGAAGACCAGCTCATGCCAAGCTCATGGTTTAGTTGGAAATGAGGATTCTACTTGGAAGTGGACTAGAGGCCATAAGTGTTGCACTCTGCCAAAAAATTTGTCAACATTTTATCTATGTCCTAGTACCCTGTATGATACTGAGTGGTAGACTAATTCATCTGACTTCAATGCAGCCCAACATTCAGACTGTGACATGGATACTGCTAGCTACTTTCAGTCAAATTTACAATGAGAATCAGGGATACAAAGCAGACCCAAAAGATAGTAAAATCATGTGGCTCATCCAGAAGAAAGCATCCTATAAAACTAGAGCCAATGAGAGTGTGGATGCTGAAAAGATCAGTGCTATTAAAAAGATGCCAAATCTTTGTTGTGGGACAACAGGAAAGATCCTTTAAGGGCATCTCAGGAAATCGCCTGACCCCACTATTGCAGGCTCAAGGTGGCAAAAGGGCAGGTAGCTTAAGACACTGCTTTGAGAAGAGTGCTCAGGGCATCCTGCTCATTCAGGACTATCTAGGGAAGTGCATTCCCAAGTTCAGCAACTCAAGCCCTCAGAGGCCCTTGCAGCCATGGTCTATGGGGCAGGCCACTGCTTGAACTAGTGGCAGACCTTAGTCATCCACATGGTGATTTTTTTTCAGGCATGCAGAATTTTTAGAAGAGTTGTGGAGCAATGGAAGCTTCCACTCAAATGGAAGGCCTGAGAGGTCAGGTCAGACACCCGAGAAGACGATTAGTCAGATTGTGAGAGCGACCCAAAGGTACAGTAGGAACCCCAGGAAGTCAGACATGCCAGGAATGTGGGCCATCCACCGAGGAAAACCACAGGTGGTGTGCAGAGTCAGCATAAGAGAGGCCAGGTGGACAGCAACCCAGTGAGGCTGCAAAGGCACGGCTGCCCACATCTTTTGAGGCTCACATGTCACCACAACCACATCTTTTGAGGCTCACATGTCACCACGACCTACCCCAGGTGGTAGACACAGAGCTACAGGACTTAAATGTTTGTTCTGCTGGGTTCTATTCCTTTCTGTCCCACATTCTTCCCTTTAGGAATGGAAATGTTCACCCTGTGCTATTTTACAATGGAAGTATTTAACTTTCTTTTTGATGTTTACAGGATCTCACAGGTAAAAAGAGTTTGCCTTGAGTTTCAGAAGAGACCCTGGACTGAACTTTTCACCAGTGCTGAACTATTAAATCTTTGGTGGCTCTTAAAACGGATTAAATGCATTTCACGTAATGAGATGGACGTGAGTCTTCTGGGAGCCAGGGGTACGACATTATGGTTTAGGTCTAAAATGTCCCCCAAACAGTCTTACGTGTTCAGAGGTCAGGTTTTTTTGGAAGGTGACTGGATCATGGAGTCACTATACTCATCAATGGATCAATTAGTTCAAGAGTTTCTAGCTAAATGAGCTGTTTGGAAGGTGAGGTCTGGTCAGAAGAGGTGGTCACCGGGGGCATGACCTGGAAGATTGTATTCTTGTTCCTGGCTTCTCTCTTCTCTCAGCCTTTTTTCTGGCTGCAATGGATTAGTAGCTTTCCTCCTTCCACTTTGCTGTTTTTGCCATGGAGCCAGCCAGTGTGGAACTGAAACCACAAGCCAAAATAAACCTCTCCTCCTTAAACTGGTGTGTCAGGTACTTTTGTCAGAGTGTCAGCAAAGCAACTCATACAGAGGCTAATGATACTAGTTTATTCACTTGCTCTTCACAAATTATAGAAACTGACTGGCCAAAATTGTACCTTTTCTTTTCCTAGACATTAGAATCACTACTTTATATGCATGTTTATTAACCATGATTGAATTCTGAAAGGTAAGAAACACAAAAAATAAAGGATAAAGTGGGCAGATGGAGGAAAGGGAAATTTTTCTTAAGAAAACCAGGAGCAGAAGGAAGATTATGTAAGAAGCCACACACTGAAATGGTTGTCTGAAGTGGAATTAAACACTGAAATGGTTGTCTGAAGTGGAATTAACTAAATCAGAAAGATGAAGCTAAAGGAAAGGGACTTGGAGTCAAAGGGCTGGATTCTGAGCAAAATAAATCAATCCCTGACAAAAAAAGAAGCATTTGAGAAGATCTGGTAGGGGGTCAGCTACTTCCGCTAGTGACCACCAGATGACAGCATCCCCTTGGCTGCTGCTGAACAACTTCAGTGAGGAAGTTCGGGGAACACTGGCACTTTGTGCCTGTGTGTTTGCAGCCTGGACTGTGCCTAACCTAGGCCTAGACAAAGTTCAAGCTTCAAAATGTAGATCTGAACATCAACACCAAGACAGTTTGAAACCATGAATTTAAGTCCTTTAAGGAAACAATTACTGTTTGTAGATTAAACCCTTCTTTAAAAATCATTAAGAATAGGGGCTGGAGATTTAGCTCAGCGGCATAAGCGCCTGCCTTGCAAGCAGGCAGCCGTGAGTTCGATCCCCGGTACCGATAAAAAGGAAAAAGACAAAAAAAAAAAAAAAAAAAAAAAAAAATCATTAAGAATAATAAGACTTAGAGAAAACTACACAACTACGAGAAATAAGAATAACTCAAGTCTAGGGTCACAAAGAAAAAGCCATTTCAAGAACTGAGGTAGAAGCTAAAAGGTGTCAAAGGTACAAGAAAATGAGAACTAAGGACTTGGTCAGATTGGGAGTACTGCTTTAACTGTTTTGCTTTTAAATACATAATACGTAATTGTTAATAGTCATGATGGTCCCTGCCTACATTCGTCATTGTATCTATTATAGTTAAACACTAAACACTCCCTGACATGATACAGTAGGAACAATACAATACACCTAGTACATATCTCAGAGGAACCAATAAAACCCCAGTCAGATTCAGCTTCTAAAAGAAACTGCCAGTTTTCAGAAGCATAAGTTAAATGAAACTATAGGAATTCAAACAACAAACTACAGAATGTAATAAGCCCATAGGACAAAAAGTTTGGTTTCTTCAGCAAATAGACAGCAATAAGGAAAAAAAGATGGAGAGAAAACCTACAGATTTTAAGGGATACATGAGAAATACCAACCAAACACAACATCTGAGCTTACAATTCTATGTGTACAAACAAATGTTTTGCTTTTTTTAAAAAGGAAGCACAATTACAAATTTGATCAGACATTTGATACTTCAAAAACTTGATAATGGTAGTATGAATGTTTCCTAATAAAGATTCTTTCTCATGGAGAGAAATACACTGAAAGTGTCTACGGATGAAAAGAGATGCAGGTTTGGCTTCAAATAGTTTGATAAGAGGCAGAATAGGCAAGAACAGGTATCAGTGTTTGGCAGTCAGCTAATTACTAATGCAGCTAGTGAATGAGGACTCACCGCACCATTCTCTACTCTCCTGTACGCTGCAGGTTTCTATAGATTAAAGCTTAAAAAATAAGCCATGCATGCTTGCTGTAAATAAATTACAAAATACAGAGAAGCAAAATGTAAAGTCATAGCTGGGTGTGGTGGCAAATGCCTACAATCCCAGCACCCAGAAGCAGAGGCAGTAGGATCACCATGAGCTCAGGCCAGCAGGAATAAAGCAGTGTGTTCAAGGCCAACCTGAACCACACACTGAGACCTAATCTCCAAAAAGTCGGGGTGGCAGGCAGCGATCATAAAAATCACCTACCTGAGCATAAACACTGTTGATATTTTGAACAAATAAATACTGCTGAAGAAAATGGGACAGGAAACAAAGGAAAAAGACTACAGGCCTTGCCATGGAAAAGCTGGGAAACAGGCCTCATTCAGAGTAAGGATGGTTAATCATAAGAGAGTCTGTGGTGGAAGCTGCCGGAGTGGAAACTGTGGGCATACAGTTATTAACTAAAGCCAGGGAAGCAGATGAGGGAGTCTAAGTCACTGCTTGTCACTCAGCCCCACTGGGGCTTTCTTTCACAAGGTCTGGCTATGTAGTTCAGGCTGTTTTAAACTCACTATACAGCCCAGGCCAGCCTCAGGCCTGCAGCAATCCTCCTGCTTCAGCCTGTGAAGTGCTAGGGTTACAAGTGTGTGCCACCATGCCCAGCCCAGCTTCCTATCTTCTTAAGCATCTGATCTGACCTAGGTCTGATCCTTGTGCCAACAAGCAAAAAAAGCTGTTACAAGGGCAAGCTGATTAGGGAGAAGTCATTTCTTATTTCACTGAGTTTACTTTAACAATTTATCTATTTTAGTCATGGCAACTCAGAACACACAGTGCATTGGGGCTGGGGATTTAGCTCAGCGGCATAAGCGCCTGCCTTGCAAGCAGGCAGTCATGAGTTCGATCCCTGGTACCGATAAAAACGAAAAGGACAAAAAAAAAAAAAAAAAGTGTAAGAACACACAGTGCACTGGGAAGTTATTTTTACTCTCTTCATAAATAAAATCACTTGTCTATATGTACTCAACTGTCCAGACCTAAAATAACAAAAGTACATGGCTTTCTTTTATAGCTCTTTTACATTTCATGTACTTGGGCTGGGGATTTAGCTCAGTGGCATAAGTGCCTGCCTTCTAAGCCTAAGGTCATGAGTTCGATCCCTGGTACCAAAAAAGAAACAAAAAAACCCCATATATTTCATGTACTAATTGGAGATTTAGCAGTCTTAAGAAACAAGATTAAACTCTTGTTTCTTAATAGACCTTGTATCTATAACAAATCTATTTCTCACCAAATGTGAAGGTTAATAGCTTTATCTGTAAAAGGGCTTATACTCAACACAAGGATAAACAAGTATTACTGACCTTTATTGTCTGCTGCTATAAATCCCAGGATGTTTTCGTGGCGTAACATCACAGTCTGGTAAATCTCTGCCTCGCGAAACCACGAACGTTCTTCCCTAGAGGAGAATATCTTCACAGCAACTTCTTCTCCCCGCCATTTTCCTCGCCAGACTTCTCCGAATCGCCCTTTGCCAATGCTTTCTTGTAACACAATTGTTCTTGCAATTGTCCTCTGAACAAGCAATGGCAAACCTAAAAACAAACGGTGCCCACACAATCAGCAAAAAGTGCCCTAGCCGAGTATCACTCTAAAGCTCTGTTTAAGGAATTCAGTTTCATCGGGGAGACAGAATATATTTGCAAAATAAAGTTATTAAAAAGGGAAAACGAAACAATACAAGAATCCAGGAACTCCTGTCAAGGGGGTCAGGCTCTACAAAATAAGCTAAATTCTGAGGGTCCTTTATAAAAGGTACAGGACAAAGGAGAGAGAAGGAATAAGGTGTCTAGTTAGGCGGCACATTCAAACAAAACCAGAGGGCGGAAATGAATAACGTATGTTTCAGAAGACTGCCCCATTAGTCACAGAGAATGTATGTGGCAGGGCAGAGGAAGAGCACGTGAGCTGTCACCAAAGGGTCCTGGGGACCAGGTTCATTATGGCTCATGAGAGCTATAGGAAAGAGGACTCATTAAGGATTCAGTTTTAAAGGCCCAAAGTGGGGAGGGAGGCAGCCTTTCAAAATCTTATTTTAGAAAGATGAATCTAGCAACAGGACAGGATAAAATTTTCTCAAAGCCTCATATAGGGTCATACCATGTACTTAGAAATATACTGAAAAGCCAATTTCAGAACCTAGAACTTATAAAGGGAAGTAATAATGGAAAAGCAATCGCAAACATGTGACAGATTTAGGACTTCTATAAATAATAAAGTCAAGACAGGCCAAGAGGACAAAGGAAGCTCTGTCTTCCCCTTCACCAATGGACTCTAGATATGGAATCAAAATTAAAAATCAAGCTGAAACTAACTTAGATCTCTGTTCTCTGCTTTACTCTTCTGTACCTTTAAAACAGCTTGGGAGAAAATTTTAATAATGAAACAGAATCACATGTTGTGAACAACAGAAACAAGACCTAAACAACACCATGAATAATAAGGGATCACGAACATGCACAAGACATAAAGAACCCTGGCCTAGCTTCACTGTTCTAAAAAGCTGGCACATGCTTTAATATCTAATAACAGCTTACACAACAGCACATGATAATCTGTGATTAGAATTAGAGCAACAGCAATTAGGTTATTTTAAAGGTTAGGGCCACACAACCTCACTGTTGCCCTGTGGCTCCCAAGTTAAAGGCAGACTGAGGAGAGATAAGGCCCCTCCTCAGATATGGCTCTGCTAATGAAAATGTGAATTCAAACAGAAACTGCTTAGCTTTGCCTCTTCCTCAGTGAGTGAAAAACTAAAGAGGAAATTATGAATAAGCGTTTTACTTAGTGATGTACAAGGCAACAGTAAGGCTCTATAAGGACCATAAGGGAAGCAGTGGCCTTTTCTGCTGTCATACAATGGAGGGCTGCTTCTGCCAAGGTAAGTGCAAAGGGAATCCAGCACACAGTGTACTAGCACAGGGAGAAGAGCCTTAAATGAAGCTGTGTTTGGTATAATGCAGCAAAAGGATGCCGTGTGTCAGTTTTCTTCCAAATGTTACAAGTAAGAGAGTAACACCTGTCATTTGGATATAACTCTTAATACCAAGTGTTTTCATACAAACATCTTGTCTCACTTGAAACACACACCCAATGACACACACAGAGCAGGGCTCATCACTTTCATTTTAAAGATGAAATAACTCAAGTATGAGGCATCAGCTAACTGCCCAAAGCTACAGAGCTGGCAAATAATGCAGACACAGATGACAGGTGAGGAAGAGGCTTTCAAACAGTAAAGAACTATAGTACTTAATGAGCTTAAAAAAAAAAAAAAAAATATATATATATATATATATGTATATATATACACACACACATACATATAAAATAGAAAAAAATTCATTTTTTATGTCATGTCTCCATTTTAAAAGTAGAAACATGTACTTATTCAGAAATGAACTGACACCTATACCCCAGTGTCTTTTACTTGTTTGGGTAGGCGGACATGAGCTCCTTTGATTTCCCTGAGTGTAAGTAACTCCAAATGATTGGCAACCATTCTGATTTTCTGTGACTTTGGTTCTTGTTGGCACAAGTTTTGTGCCAGTTAAATTATAAGAAAATATTTCTTTGGGAGCCATCTGAACTAGCTAAGAATCAATGACAAACGCTCAAATCTAATATACCCTCTTGGCCACCATTCCGGTACAAAATATCGTATCTTCAATACTCTGGCTGTTCCCACTCAGTCCAGCCTCTCTCTCTCCCCTCACACCAGTCTCAGGAATCCCTATGCTGCCTGAAGGCATCTGGGCTCTTAGACACCATGTATTCTAACAGACAGGGAAAGTACTCACTTACTGCTTATGTACGGCCAAATTCCACAGGTTTCAGGTCATGGACTCTGTTTCCCTCATCTTACTTCTGAGTCATATTTTTCCTCAGTCACAATTTCTGTATCAATGCTCCTTTATTGTCACTTAATTATAATCAATAATGTTTTCATTATATATATTTTCAAATCTTCACTTTATCTATGCATTTAGCCTTTTTCTGAAGCTTGTGTATACTTTTCAAAAGACATTAAATGTCATTTAAAAGTCCTAACACATCACTTTAAGTATTTTACCAATGCATTTATTCCATACTTCTGATAGAACAGAGTCCAAAGAGCAAATAAGATTTAAACAAATAAGCCAATCAATTATAAAGCTTGCATTAGAATCTAGATCTACTAATTCAGTGTCAAATTCCAAAAGCATAGGCATAAGGGCATTTGTTCCTCTTAGACGCCTTCCAAACCACATGCATGAAAAAGTAAAACACATTCCCCTTCTGTCCAACAGTGAAAGCTGGGTACTGTGGCACATGCCTGCACTCCCAGTACTATGGAAGGCTGAGACAGGTGGACCACAAATTTGAGTTTGGCCTAAGCAATTGATAATTGAGTGACTCCAACTTAAGGCTCAATCTCCAGGAATACTCCCAACAAAGGGTAAGTACTGTTATGCCAACACCTATGCCAAAACCTCAGGACAACTGTGCCAACTGGAAATTAGCCAGTCTATTTCTGAACCTACAAAAATCAATAAACAAAACAGAAAAGCAAACAGAACAGGGGCAATGGAGACAGACAGTTACATTACATAAGGTAGTTAATTTTTTTCTGCAGTATAACATTACCAAGAATTCATTAGTTTAATATAGGCAGACCTGACCCAACACCAGCAACTTCATTATTAAAAAAGCAAATAGCTTCAATTCCAAACATATTCCTATCATGCCTGCTTTCAAATACAAAAATAAGGCTTCTAAACAATCTCTAATAGAACAGGTAGCTGTAGATAATTTGAACATCTTTGAACTTCAGTCTCCCCTGTATGAGACTAGTTCTGCTTTCTATCTGGCAGTCAAGTGAAACAGGATTATATAGCTAAGAATGCTTTGAAACTTACGGAACTGTAAATTTGACTTAATGAATTTGTTTCAACAGTAAAATTAAGTTCGAATTTAGACTACACTAGCCATGATCAGATTTAGACCAAACTTAAAGACCTTTATCAGACTCAGATGTAAAATACCATTTCACACTACCCTGTTTTTTTTGGGAGGGGGGTGGGTTACTGGGCATCAAACTCAGGACCTCATGCTCACCGAGCAGGCCCCTGTGTTGCTGAGCTAAACCTGTCCCTTCCCTAAGTTCTAACAAACTAAGCCAAGTAAATGGCTTAAGTTAACTTTTATCCGCCCTCTTAGAGAAAAGGAGAAACCATTACGTTACCTGACCCAGACCCCGACGTCGTCATGTCATAAATCAGATCTTTCAATGTGGTGCCCTCTGAAATAAAAGGGCGGTCCAGGGACGGGTCCTCCTCATTTGGCACACGGTGATGAATGACAGTTCGGTTGTGGCAGATATAGACCATCAACATAAGGGAGATGCACACGAAGCAGACCGGCCCCGCAATGACAGCTGCCAGCTCCACAGGACCAAGGCCAGATGACTGCTTCTCTGTAAAAGGGCCTCAAGTGAAACAGACATCAACGAAAGGGAACACTGTGACTGGCATCCACGGCACCCTTCTCCACCCACACCTCCCATGGTGCCGCTCAGCTGCGTCAGAACGAGCCAGAGACTCAAACTTGGCGCAGGCCAGCACTCAGCCTCCTCCCACTGCCCCTCTTTCCGCTCCTGCAGCACCCTCCTCCTCTCCCCACAGTCCCCAGCAGCCATCCAGCTCACTAACTCAGCTCCTGTCGCATCCCAGGACCTTCCCACCCATCCCTTCAGGTTACCACTCAGCGAACCAGACACGTAAACTCCCACTAGTGTCCCCTAAACATCGGCATTCTTCCCTAGGAAGCTTTCACCTGTCTACTCCTCTCGAGGCCAGTACATGCTTATGGCAGGGGAAACCATGAATATGAGTAAGTGAAAACTTAAAAAAAAAAAATTCATGTTGCTTCACCAACCTCAGGCCTGCCAGGCAGGTGCTTATGCCGCTGAGCTAAATCCCCAGCCCTCATAAACTTTTAATAATTAACATTTCACATTTTTATCAGAGCTGAATTAATTACAATTATTTTGACATTTATTCTGAGCCCAACTAGCTCAATGTTCACACCATGTGTTTTCATGTCAATCTTTCCCCTTCTGAGACCTTCATGTGGATTAATTTCTTATCATAAAGAATTCTATTTCTAGTCATTTTTTTCAAGAGAAGTACATGTAGGTTCTTACATACTGAAGAGTTAATTATCCAGAGATAAGCTGGTATGGCAGAGCATGCCTGTCATCCCAGCACTCGGGAGGCTGAGGCAGGAGGACCTCCATGAGTTGGGAGGCCAGCCTGGACTACACAGTGAGACCCTGCCTCAAAAAAACAAAACAAAGTGAAACAAAACAAAACCACAATATGACTGTAGTCTCTGTATATGAAAACTTTTAGAGCAGTAAAATGTACAATGTCCACTCTGTCCTCTGATACCTAAAAACCTGAAAATCAGCCAGTGCTGTAGTACATGCCTATAAAGCCCCCCTCTGGCAGGTGAGGCAGAGTTCCAAGTTCAAGCTCAGCCTGAGCAACTTAGTGACTTAGCAAAACCCTGTCTCAAAATAAAAAGTAAGAACAAGGACTGGGGATGTAGCTCAGTATAAAGACCCTGGGTTCAATCTCTAATACCACATACACACACGAAGGCCAAAAGTGTGAGCAGTTTTCCTTTTATTGGTAATCAGTATTTACACGCACTTAATGATTGTATATGTGTGCATGTGTGTGTGTGTTTTAATTCCTGAACATAATATTTTTAAAAATACACATTTGGATACTTTTTCATCAGTCATACCTGATAATCTCTCTTCTGTACTTGTTCATTTTCTGAAATTTTAATAAATAAATTGGATCACCTAGCTCTAGCCTCTTTAACTTGCTCACCATCTCCCCTTTTCCCTGCACTGCAACACAACTTCGAATCTTGACTGCAGAATTATAGCATCTAGCCTGCTGATACATTTTTCAATACTGCATTTTTAAAACCATTCCTCAACTGAAATTTTTTTTAACTGCAATGTTCTCATTTCATAGTGAACAACTAAAAACAGACCTTGGACTGTCTAAAAAGTCTTCTCTAGCAAGCAGTAACCCTATTGCACAGGGTGATACATACTCTAACTTATCCAGTTCAGTCTGCTTTGAAACCACTGGACATTTTCAACTGCAAAATCTTTGAAGTTTGTTATCCTGGGAGTTGAATGAGTTTACGATTGTGGCTTCCTGAAACTAGGTGGGGTTGCCCTTTTCTGTGACTAGGGGGCCTGGCCTTTTGTCTCTGAGCTTCCTACTCTAATCAGCATGAGACCAACTCCACAGCAGGTGAGCAGTGAGGTCAGCCCCGTAGGACAGGTGCCAGTCTAGTGCTAACAGTACATAAGCTTCAAGGCTCATCACAAATATTGGCAAGTGGGGGATTCTTCCATCAATTCTTCTAGGATTAATATAGGTCTCCACAATTTTATACTTTGATTTTTACAGTAGAAATTTAGGATTTAGGGGACAATAATAAAATAGTTAAATCTTAAATGAGCACTCTAAAATTAATCCATTCCTAAAATAAAGATGGGCATAGTACTGTAGGCCTATAATTTCAGCACTCAAGAGGTTGAGGCAGGAGGACTGGTGTGAGTTCGAGGCCAGCATAGACTTCCCAGTGAGTTAAAGGCCACCTTGAACCACATGGTAGGACCTCGACTCAAAAAGACTGGAAAAGCAGGAAGGGAAGGAGGGAGGGAGGATAAGAGAGACAGGAAGGGAGATGAACTGAACTGAACTGAGCAGAACAAGAACAAGAACAAGAACAGGAACAGGAACAAGAACAAGAACAAGAACAAGAACAAGAACAAGAACAAGAACAAGAACAAGAACAAGAACAAGAACAAGAACAAGAACAAGACAGCCTTTAAGTCACTGATTCTACCAGGACATTTTAAAATGTAAAGTATGGGTGATGCCAAAAATCTAAAAATCATGTGTAGTGCACTCACACACAAAGATCATAAAATTACAAAATGAAAACATCTAGACTACAGTGCTGGCTGCTGATGGCTTTAAAGATAAGGGCCTTATAAAAGGAAGAAGTTTACTCGGAGAACAAAGCAGGGAAATCCTGAGATGTACATATTGCTGCTATCAATTCATCCGAATTTGCTTTTAAAAGGCTGTCCTCCTAGGCCTAACACATCTCACTGCAAGTCTAGCTGGGAGCAAACTTCTCGAAACACCAGGATCGTGGCCATTCTTACAACTTCATAGCTATCCTCAAGTCACTTTCTGTATCAATTTTGAGTAAGAAAGCTCCACAATTTCTGCAATCCCTCCCAGTTCTAAAATTATAGTCATTCTAGGATTATACAATTATACAACAACTTACCGGTAGTTGGGAGTTCTATTTTATTGCAATGGTCCTGATTGCAGCAATGTGTTGTGGTAACAGCCCCAGTTTTTGAAGAGGGTGCACATACAAATGGTCTATCTCGAGGAATTAGATCGATTTCAGCTATACACATGGTGTTGTGTATAATTCTGTCTGTAGTCTCTGTGATAGAGACAAAGCAGAGGCCATCTGTCACGCAGGTATAATTGTCTTTTGCACAGAGCTGGCAGAAACACTGTAATGCTGGAAAAAAGAGCACAAGATTTTATAGGAAAAAGTGTCAAGGTAAACAGCCTGAAATTACCCAATGTTTACTCTATTAATATATTCTTAATCCTGTCATTTCCTAATTTCTATGCTATTCAAAATATAAAACTCTTCCAGATTCTGTTGAAAGCCATTTTATTTTGGGAGGGAATGACTTTGAGACAAAGTCTCACTATACAATTTGGGGTGGCTGTGCACTCACTTTGTAGCCCAGGCTGGCCCTGAACGCACCACAATCCTCCTGCCTCAGCCTCCTGAGTGCTGGGATTACAGGTGTGAGCCACCACACCTGGCCAAAAACCACATATATGTAGAAGCTCAAGAAAAAATAGAAAAACTTGGGTCTAGGATTTTTCCTACAATTTTTTTTATTCCAAGTACAGAAAAACAACATTTCATAGAGATATGGCAAACATTTGCCCTTCCATTCGAAACTTTTCAAACTTTTTAATGTTTCTACTGTTCCTAGCTTAAAACTATGCATTTACATAATCCATGACTGGGGAGCAATGTATGACAACATTACCACCTACTCACTATAGGTTGAGACCGCCATTTCAATTGATTTCTGGTAGTGGGGTAATCAAAATATTAACATTGTGCCAGACAGCTCTCTTCACTTTTGTGCAAATCCTGAGAAACACACTTTCCAACTAAGATGAAGATCCTCTCTCACTGATATCAAGAAGACCACCTCAATAACAATTCATGCAAGCCCCAACCACACTTGATCTTCCCTGTGCAGCTCCAGGCGGGATCCCTTTAGGGGACACTGCATTCCACCATTCACAGACACCCTCACACCCTCAGTTATGCTCTACAATAAAAGTAAGCACTCTGCAAAGTATACCCTGTTTACCAGAACTACTAGTCTTGTTTTTCTTTCACATGAAATTATAAGTTCCTTGATGCCAGAAATTATATTAATGATTTCTGCAAATCTGACATCTAGTGCTAGTGCTAAGTCTGAAACTCAGCAGCATCTTAAAATGCTTACTGAATGACAGAATACCTACATTTTACCCTGGTCTCATGGAGCTGCAAAGTGCAGATGTGTCCGTCAAGTTCAATCAAACTTTCCAATCAGCCAAAGGCAAGGGCAAGGGGAAAAACTATGTGTGTCGAATCGCCATTTATGATGAAACCAGAGAAGTCTACAGCAGGTAGAAAAGGAGACAAAGCAGACCAAAGGAAAGCCAACTTTGAATGATTAACTTGTTTTAGCCTCAACTGGTTCCTGGGAGATGAGCCCCAAACTCCTACAACAGTCTCCCTGATAAGAATGTTTAGGAGCCTGGCTCAGTGGCACAGGCCCTGCCTGGCAAGCAAGAGGTCCTCCATTCAATTCCTGATACCCACAAAACAGAACAAAACAAAACAATATTTAGATATGCCTGAAACTAGGCAGCGTGATATCAATTTGACTCAACTGCCAATGAGAATGTGATTACTGTAAATACACTATTTCTGCTACTGAGATGGGGGTGGTAAAATCTAAGCAGCTGATGACAGTCACACAGACTGACCCCTAATAAATCCATGTACACTAAGATTCAGGTGAGCTTCCCTTTGCTGGCAACAATGCACATGCTGTGTGCACATGTGTGTGGCAGAGCTGTCACCTCCCTGGGGAGAAGAAAGCCATCTGTCCTACTGTACTGGGAGAAAATACTGGAAACTTGGACCCGGTTTCTTCTGGATGACACTCTAGCTTCTTGTCTCCCTTGCTGATTTTAACCTGTATCTTTTCACTGTAATAAACTGTAACGTTAACAGCTTTTCTGAGTTTTGTGAATCATCAAGCCTAAGGGCTGTCTTGGAGAATCCCAACTGACTTACTAAACTCAAACTCAGGAATGTCAGATTCTCCTCCGGCACCTGCTTTTTGGTTGCTGGTGTAACTGGCACATTTGTCTGTTTTCTCTATGGGACAGCAAAGGTTTTCCATCTTCATGAACAGTTCAGCGATTTGATTTAGCTCCTCTCAAGTATGAAGGGAACTCAAGGAAACAACAAGAAAGAAACAAAATGCTAATCTACTGAAGGGTTGTTAAAAAAACAGCAGTTCATGACTATGCTCAGTGGAGCAAGTATGAGTTCCTTAGGCACAGTTTCCAAAGGAGAGATTCTAGGGTAGGATCTCACAACTGGCTTCAGAAGTATATGGATCCTCTGAACCTGTAGGCCAAACGTGTGTATTTGCATTTTCAAGGACAAGGTCAACTGTTTTTGACAGAACACACAAAACCATCTATGGCCTAAAAAGATTAAAACCACCCTAGAACACAAGATTCCTGAGTCCTTCTTACTTGTGTATGAACAGCTAGATCACTCATTTTCTTTTAAACATGACTCTCATCAGCTACTGTACTTAAAACTCAGAGTACTTAAAGAGCACCACTAAAGGAGAACATTTCATTTCGTTTCATTTTTACTTTATTTTATTTTTTGGTTATCGGGGATTGAACTCACGACCTTGCATTTGCTAGGCTGGCACTTATGCCCTGAGCTAAATCCCAGGCCAAGGAGAACATTTTTACACCATGTGGTAACTACTGCACCTAAACATGCTTCCAGGAACACTCCATGGGTACTGCAGCATGGCTGCCTTAGGTTACCTAAAAGGAGGACTAACACTTGGCTTACCAGCTAAGACTCACTAGGACCAAAAACTACTTAGCATTAAGATGATGATGTCTTTCATCACCTTGGTCTTTATTATACATATTCTCTCTGCCTGATTTAAACCCACCATCTCTTTCTTCTCATCCTTTAAAACCTTATTAAACAAGGTCTTCTCTATTGTGTTCTGAATCTCTTCCCTTTAGGTAGCTCTTTTCAGTACCCTCCTACACATTCCTCTATGCAAGCCCTGAGGCTAACTGCAATCTATTTATAGTTTGCGGTTTAAGTGTCCTTTATTATCTTAAAAAGAGCCTCTTTTTGTTTTTCATGGCTTTGAAATCTGAATCCCTACACAGAGCCCAGAAAGTATTTGTTAAAACAGTGTTGCCCACATGAAAAGTCATACTTGGAAAAGAAGAATCTAAGAGTTTTATGCAAATTTTAAACAATATTTTCATTTCAGCCAGGCATGGGAGCACACACCTGTAATCCCAACACTTGAGGCTCAGGATAATCATTTCAAGTTCAAGGCCAGCCCGCCCTACAAAGTGAGTTCAAGACCTGACTGAACTACAAGTAAGAATCTGTCTCGGAAAAAAATTGTTTTTCAAAGATAACCTAAAAGCAATGATAAACATTCTGGGTCATGAATAATCACCACCTAAACAAGCACTGTCACTGCGCTTTCACTGCTGCTTCAGCAGTTTCGTGAACATTGCATTCAGGTCAGAAGCCCTTGTGGCACACTGTTATAAAGAGATCAGGTTTCGCAGTAATTTTGAGAGAGAAAACAAACAAGGAATCTGAACCACAGAAGTGCACACAATATAGGCATGGTATATTCAACAGTCAACAGCCAAACCGCCAATACCACATATGCACTATAATTTATGCAAGTCTAACGTGAATTCTATCTTTATGTACAATTTGCAAAAGTTCATTAAAATATTTTTGTAACTATATGATATTTTCCATTCTCACGCCCAGCAATAATTAATGGTTTAAAACACCATTTAATGAAGGTCTCAATAATAAAGTAATGTTAACTCTATCTTCCACTGAACTAAACAACTGTCATCTCATTAAACTGTTACTTGAGGAATTCTTGTTGGCCAGTGTTTTGGTTAGGTAAGAGATCTCATTAACCTGAACTCACCAACAAACCCCTGAAGTCATTGAGACCATCTTGTACAAAACTGGTGAGAACACACACTTACAGCTTTTACTATCTCTCAAGATAAAGTACTGAAGTGGTCCAGGGATACAGCTCTGTGGCACAGGGCCTGCCTGGCAAGCACAAGTTCAATTCCCAGTACCAAAGAACAAAACAAAAGTAAGATACCGAAGCATTTCGAACAGAATCAGACCTAAAGCTATTTTTTTCTGCCATGAAACCTAAACATCGTCTGCCACACTGAACAATTATATTGATATGAATTTTGGTTTCTGTAGCTACCTTTGTATTTACTTTGTAGATATGAGTTACAGTAGGAAGGCAGAAACACAAGGTTTTTTGTGTCTATCAATCTATTTAGTTTTTGTCTATATTAATGTAAGTAGTACCATGAAAAATACACTCTGTGCAAGTCATTACTTTATGGCAGACTTGAAGAAATGCTAAAGGGTTTTTGCTAACTTACCCTGTCAATAGTAGGTTACTAGACAACTATACACACCATACAACACAAAGCTTGTCTCTTAAGAAATTTAAAAATTCTATTTTGCAACTAGATCAGTCTTCAGTGAATATAAGATTGCTGTTATATAATACAGTAAACAAGTAGAGAAAAAGAAATCAAAAATTTAAAAATTCCCACTTACATGTGAGCTTTAATTCTTATTTTTTCAAATTTATATTAACAGATTTTGGTTTTAAGTTAGTATCTTTATATGTGAGGTATAATGTGGGCTATGGGTACACAGGGATAAATAACAAAGATATTTTCACTTAAGCAGTTCACTGAAATAGTTCAGTAAGAGGTATTAAACCTAATTAAAACCCAAGGTCCCAAAGAGAATGATCAAAGTACAGTACTTCAGCTTCACTGAGGTAAAACAGCTCTCAAGAAAAGCTGCACATGGCGTTTAAGCCAGAACTTGGAGAATACATACAATTTGCTAGATAGATGCAGGTAAGAGATTTATGAATGGGTTGGTTCCCCCTCATGCAATGGAAGGATTTCTCCCCTTTGTGGCTGGGCTTCTAAATAAGATTATCAAATTTAAGTAGTCATTCAAGATGCTAACAACCATAATGAGTTTCATCAGCAAATGAACACAATACCTTCCCAAGCTATATCATCTCATTGAGATACTAACCAAATGCGTATTTTTATTTTAAAGAGATTAAG